TCGCAGTTAACAACAGTACACGCCTGGTTGAATAAACACAGAGATTATCGTTTTCGCCTGCATCGTTTACTTTAAATCCATTGCAAGCCACAATGATAGGAAGTAGAGAGCACATCGCGTTTGCGATCTCTTTATCGAATACATCGGCTCTAACACTAATCCTCGAAGAAGACAAGGCAAATGCCATTACGGGCCCGAAGAAATGATGGGTCTTCACTGGTTACTTGCGGCGAGACAGGTTTATAAATCGGCGTTCCTGCTGCATCTGCTGCTGGCCGATTCCTTTTGCAGAGCCCCAGACAATCGATGAGTAAATTGAGAAATATTTTTCACGGCTTTTAAGACCAACAAGTTCGTTCGATAGAACTTTGCCAAAGCTTGCACCAGTTTAATGGGGCTTGTGAACAAAACCAGCACGCTGAAGAATGCTGTCAATTTTCTCCTGATTCTTTTGGCTGGTTTCACTGTGTGTCTTTCCTTTTAGGGTAAGAGTCTCCTATAGGGAACTAATTTATAAGTCAAATTATATTTCGATTGTTTCCTGAAATTACTTTTGACTACCCACTAATCCCCCGTTCTTCCCGTTCGTATCTTCGCCCGTCTGGCTTGGTTCGCTCCGACTAGACTTGCGAAATCGAGTTTCAGGTCGAAGTTTTACGATTTTTCGGCGGATACTTTGGGCCATCTGGCCGCTCCACTGTTCTCTAAATATTTGAAACTCCCGTAAACAGTGCCGCTAATTCCAGCCGAAAGCACGTCCTAGATGAGGCTTTAATTAACGATAAAATCGCCCAAACACGCATCATAGTTCGCCGATCGATTGGGTTTCCGAAAAAAATCGTCCTGTTTACACTTTCGACTCGGTTTCAGCCCTCCGAGTTTGTCTGTTTGCCGGGGATTATGCGAGAAGAGAACGGTGTCTGTCTGAATTTTTTTATCAGCAATGGGAAGTTGTATGGGTATTAAGAGGCAGGAGGATTTTGTCGAAAAGCAAAGCGTTTAAGGCCTAGTTGGTCGAAAGCCAGTTGATACTGGTTTAGGAGGCGACAAAGACCGAAATAAAAATTTGGGGCTTTCATGTGTTTTAATTCATTTTTAAAGAAATGAATGAACCACAATTTGAGCAATTGTTGGATTGAAAATAAGAAAACTGGAAAATTAAGTTTTGATTTTGTGCAACCTTGAACCTGACTGAAAACTCAAATTTGGTCAGGTACGATGAAATCCTCTTTCCCCTTTTTTCCTGTGAGCACAAGCCATGAGGTTGCATGTGAAAAAACATTATGAAGGTGGTTTCAGGTGAAAACATTCTCAGTTTTGCATGCAAAATTAAGTAAACTTATTACCATGTTGATCTGCCTGGAAATTTTTTGGAAACTTTTCATCTCCGTGCAGGCGACTTAAACTTAGACGTTAAAATACCTAACTAACATGCGTTCTGTGAAAGGTTCATCAGCGCATCAAAGTAATTTTTCACTAATCCAGACATTATAAATCGAATACTCTTGGCACAGAAGCAAAAATGAAAATCTTGGTTTTTTAGTATTCTTGTTATTTTAAGGGCTTTTGTTTGCGCCCCCATTCTGAACGATTAAATAAACATATAAAAAAGTAACAAACTATTTTTGTGTTTTGTTTGACTTTCACCTTAAATTCCCATCAAGAAGAACAAAGCAAAAATTGCTACAAGCCTGGAAAACGTACGTTGAAAAATCGGCAACTTTTCAAGTGAAAATCGTTAATGGGAAAAATCCTCCCATGTTATAACAGATGCTGTTTTCAAAGTGTCAACAACGGGGAATACCTAAAAATAGTCGTTTATAGATGTGTAAGCATATAGTTCATTAACTTTTTCCCAGTTTATTTGCGGAAATCATTTCGGAGGTGTTAATTGGATGGGTTTTAATTCCGGCGAGTCCACACATGTTGCAAGACCGAATTTGTTGCTAAGATTTTACATAATGTTCGTGTCAGTCGCGCTTATTGTTGCACTCAAATAAACACTAAACGAGCCCACGATTGACGGTTTCAAGCAGCCGAAAAAGAACTTTTTCTGGCAACCCGACCGAAATTAGAGCGATATCAAAAGCTTTTAAGCGGTTTGAAGGGTGTAATTCACGCGGCTGGTTTACGTATTTCAACGCAACGCATTTCATTGAAAAGTCGGTGAATTTGAATGGAAACGAGTGAAATCACTTCGGTATATTTAACTAGTTCTGACTGATGATGTGCTGCTTTGAAACCATAAATGTTTGCAGATTATTTTCAAAAGCTGCAAAAATTGTTATTAATTTACTCGTCTACTAACAACACTTTTGAAATCATTTCCACTTAGAATAAAATGAAACTAAAATATTTACAGAAGTGTTCAGCTTACAGCATGCCCGTTAAATAATTCAGTGTTTCCTTATTGAAACGCCTATTTTACTACCCATATTATGCCCGGTAAGTTTTATGGCAGAGCAGACAAATAATCACGGCCTTTCCTCCTCGATAAACCAGTCACTGATCCTGCGAGATATTTTAGGATAAAACGATTTATGTTGGGGATATTTCGCAAAACTCTAATCGATTGAGGTGTTTTGATTGCACTCGCTCCTTGCCAGCAATCGGAGCTGGGATGGATCGGTTTGCTTTACCAAACGTATGCTAATAATTTTTCTTTTTTTCAATTGCTTTGTTCGTATCAGTTTGATGATGAGAAATTTGCCTAAATTCCAATCAAAATATGGAGGGCATTAAAGTCGTGGAAGTGGATTTTCTCTTCAATTTTTCAGACTTTTATTTGCGATTAATGGAAATTTTTGCTGATTGATCATTTTGCGGGATAACCGGCAATAAAGGAAGAAATATCTCCAGCAATTATGGAAGAATATTATTTTACAGATGGGTAAAGTTTCTCTAGTAAAACTTCAGTGGTAAACTCAACATATGCCCACGAGGATTTTCTTCGTGTTTTGCAAATTTGTCGACATTGGAAGACCCCAATGAATATTTTTTTTTATAAAATACTTAATCCAAAGGAATTTTTGATTGAAAATTTCTTATGGAGACTAACCCAAAGAATATTTGGGGTTAAAAGCTTTTTTTTTAATAAAATATATAATCCAAAGGAAATTTTGATTTTGATTTGATTTGACTTAAAATCTTCACAATTTTACATTGCAATAATCGAGCATTTTTACTGTTTGAAACTGACGAGATTTTCGGCTTTTCTTCCGACGTTTGGCAAGTTCAAGTGACCTGCCTCTTCAGGGGGTTTTGCTCAAACGAAGTTTTCTTTCATATTTTTCAGCCATCCACAGGCTAAAAAATTAGGTGAAACATTGACCCAATAAAGATAGTGTTTTTTCAGTGTCCAGTGAGGATAAATTCCACCGAGCAAATGACCTCTGAAGATGTAAGACAATAGAGAGACTAAAATATTTCAAACTAAATAATATAAAATTATATTTGAGATTAACATCGTTATTTTTAATTAAAGTCTAGTTGAAAAAATTAACAATTAATTTTTCGTTCAACTTTTATCGATATTGAATAAAGTAAAACTTGCGACAAAACAAACGGCCGATAATCTAGATCAAATCCTCATGATATGAACGATTTAAAAATGTATTTGAGTTTCAATAGATCTTTAGGAAAACTATTGCAAAAATGAAAACTTTTCAATAAAATTAAAGCCACTATGTAGAATCCTGAATGCTCAAGTTTCTACATTTTTTCCCTAGAATTTGTTCCCTGTTATACAAGCGTCTGCAAATAAATCTAGCAACAAATTTTCTTTCCACTTTAGAGCAGCAAACGCTTGAATTTTGCGCCTAAGACTGGGTTTTGTTAACTCGCTAGAATGTTTTTCTGGGCAAAACTGAAAAATATCAAATTTGACCACTGATTGATTAAAACTGTATGAAAATTGAATATTCTCCTAGTTGAAGCGTCAGCCACATACGATTAAGTAGAAAAATGTTTCATCACATACACAGTTTCATAAGAATTTAGCCATATTTTGCCGGATTTTTCCAAAACACTGCCGATTTCCAAAAAAATGTCAACCACCAAAAAACTGTAAATTTATCGGGCTTCAAACAAATGAATAAATTTTTCTGAATTCCAAAAAATGTCCATGTTTTGGGGCGTCAAAGACAACGCAGCCACTGAAAATGTGTCATAAGGAAGCATATATCGCGCTCTTTAGTCACACGCTATAAAAACAGGAAGATAATATGAAAATAAATTGTAGATGTAGGAACCAATTGGAACAAATAAAAAGTTGCGTTCAATTTTTTCTGAGAAGCTCCTGGACACTGTAAATAAAACCAAACATTTTTTATGTGTTTARGGTCCACAGCGAACATTTGCGTACGTACATTTTCAAAAAGATATTTATACAAACCGCACTGTTAGAYAAAACTTTATTTTAAAAWAATCGTGTCTATAACCGGCGGTTTTGGACGAAATTTGCTCCAAAWCCTCAGAAAATTRAGCAMCTTTTTTTGGATGTACCTAATAAAACTCCCCAATTAAAAGCCTAAAAAATGGMATAATTTATATGTTTAAGGGAACTGAAAGARAGTGCTAATTAAACCGAACACSAAACAAAGAGGAATTTTACAGARCAAATACATAAATASAATCCACAGAAGAGCAKAGAMAAAATAGAAAACAACATTTCTTGGCTGATCTTGKMYCTWWCWMAWCATCYGAWWWTTTSAKAKTWTTCTCCTTTSAWWAATSKGWARMTTCGAGAGTACACCTTTYCTCAAAAAAATTTTTGAWCAAATCTTTCGAAGAAAAGCCAAGGAAATCATCAATAAACCGCAAYATTTTTATCAAGTTCAATCCTCCTTCAAATTTCATCCCCTATTCGATGTTTGCCTGGCGRAAAACGAGASTAAGCCACCCTTACCAGCTTTCATCCCTTTAGGTGAGTTAAAGCCTAACTGTTTCTGCCTGAGCTTTGGTAAGCATTGAAGAAAATGCGAAACATTCTAGGGACTTACCAGCGCATCAACATTGGTCACTATCGTAAAAAACACGAGGGCTGCCAGGGCAATTGCCCGGCACACACCCGTCCGCATCGACATAGCACACTGTCTCCATATTTTCAAGCGTCTCTTTTGGTAAGCGGGGCCCCCACCATTATGACTTAAGCTCGGTCTGCGGCGCCTTGCTTTCGACCCTTATTTCGCACCCTGCACTGCCTTTTTCCGCCCCAAATTCGCCTCAGAGCTGCCTCAGACCAGCATCCACCACCAGCTCAAAGATGGTGGCTGTGGACCTTCAGGTGCTGAAGGTATGGAGCTTGAAAGCAGGGTGAGCAGAAATCGCGCAGCAAAGTCGAGATGTGGAAGTGGATGGCTTTGAGCTTGAAGATGATGATTTGAGTGGTGATTTTTAGTAACGCGCGGACCCGCGTGTGTTCATTACATAAGGTAGAAGTGTTGTGTGTTTCCCCTGTAGGGGGTTGACGGTCGCGATGACCGACCGTGGACTGGGGTGGTAAGTCGCGCACTTTTACTTGCTAATTTGTGTGCTTTTTGCGAAAATTCTTCACCACCGCTGCGGTTTGCCACGTTTTTACTGGTTCAAACCACAGTTTTACGCGCAAGTTAAGCGAAAAGGTGTTTTTGGGCTTTTCTTCCCGGTTTCAAGACAGCAAGTTCCTAAATTGCTTTAGACACCCTGTAATCTTCGCTTTTAATTATATTTTTTAACGATCGCATCGAAACTCGACCTGTTTTCCTTGCATTTAGTGCTGAAACACGATAAATTCGTCCATTCCAAACATGCTGAAATGGGTGTTGTTATGCAGGTTGGTTGCAACTTGTAGTTGTCAGCGTTTAGCTGGTTTTTTGCAAGTTTCGCCTAATGAATTTCTGAACAGACCGTTGTGGAAAAGATGCGTTGTAGTTGTGGGCCAAAAGTCGCTTAAATCCATGAAGTTCAGTAGTTGCATTGAAACTATACAATTTTACTGGTGAGTTTTTCGCGTGAAGAGAATGTCTTCCTGACGTTTCGCTAGCCCGAGGGGCTTGCATCTTCAGCAGTGTGTTGCTCGCAAGACTACACTGGACACCAAAAACACTGTTTTTTAGCAACTTTTGCTTGCAAAACGTCAGAAAATAATTATTGTTCACGTCGACCTACATGCGCGAAAAACTCACCAACTTCAGTGGTAAAACTGTTCACAAATCGCCCAATTTTGAAGATGTTTTTTCAATTTTTTCCACATTTTGTGTAGACTTAAATAATCTACAATGTGGGTGCTGGATTATCGCATAATCGATCGAAAGACAGCGACTGTATTATTTAAAAGATTGTGAAGATTAATGATTCATTGGCAAATGTGGTCGCAAAGTTGGGTTCTCGTCTGCTTGGACTTGCTGTTAAGAAAGTTGATATTTTTGTTCCTTTTTTTAGCTTTAATAAAATCCCTCTTTTCGCTGATGTATAAAACTTATTAAATCTAGTGGTTTTTTTTTGGAAAATCCAATTAAACCGTGAAAGTTTCCTTTTCAACATATTTTCGATCTCGATATTTACTTCTCACTTTTACTCACTTTGACTTATTATGAAAAGTCCAATTAATTCTTTCGTTAGTAAAAACAATCGCGTTCTACATCAAACACGCGTGTTTTGATTCAAAACACCAGCCCGACGATCAAAAATTAGCTAATGGCCTGTCAGGTCGCCAGATCTGAAGCCTGTAGATATTTCAAAATTTTAGAGGCAAATGCCAGTTTTTTAAATGGCCTTTCATTCTCACCCACGCTGTTTTATTTATTGCACTCAATTCCGGATTTTTCAAGCAAATATTGTGACCCCAATGACAAAATAGCAGTTTTTTAGCGAACTCTTTGCCATTCTTCCAGATATTTGTTCTGGTCTTTCTGCCTCTCAAACCAACATAATTTGTTCATCGCAGCCTTTTTAGATCGTGACCTTAAAACAAATTTGAAATGAATAATCGAAGCGATCTGGGCCAGAGCTTCCGGCAGGGCAGGAAGTTGTTACCATCCAGAATCCAGTTCGCAAACGGAAAAAATGATATAATGCGTGTTTTATCAGTGAATGTTGTAAATTCCATATCGCTATGGACGTAACAAGTTAAACGCATAGAAAGTGTAAATGATTGAGGAAAAAGTCCACATTATTTTACCGACCACATCATAGAGTAAGTAAGTAAGACCACATCGCATTGATCGCAAGTCGCAAAACAGCGCAAAGTTGGAGCTCGAATGCTCTGATGTAATTTTTTTATAAATAAATCAATTCAAGCAAAGTTCAGTAGTTTATCGGGCTTGTTTAATAGAAATTACAGCCGTTCTCATAATCCAGTTCGGGTTTTTAATGGGTTTAGAAAAAATATGCTGGTGCCTGACAAGGAGATAAATAACAATCAGCGTCAGTTCAACTAACAGCAAACAGTGGTTTTTAATTGATAAAATGGGGAAATTACTTGTTCCAAAGAAATTGATTAATTAGCTGAAAATTGCATAGATTAGTATGGAAATAGTGTGGATCAATCTGACGATTTGATGCCATAACGAGTTTTTTATATCAGCTTTTTGATTTTCTTAATTAAAATATAGCTCGATTAGTGACATCGAACCTGGTCTTTTGTAGGCGTCTATTTACCCACCGATAAAACATCTAATCGATTCTGGTACCTTTAATATGTTAATCCAATCGAATGGTTTAGATTCAAGTCGAAGATATTAGAGCAACCAGCCAATTAATCAGTCCATTAACACCATGGATAATGTTGTAAAGAAATGCCGGTGCGGATGACACAGGTTTAAATGAACCAGTGAAACATGGGCGCGGATTCCTTTTAAAGGAATGTTTCCAAAGATTTTATGCTCAGATATGCGTAATTTCTAAAAAGGACACTTGCTGCAACTAAACGCTTAAATTGTATTGTCAGCAAAGCACTTTGCGGAAACTAGAGGAGCTTTTGCAACAACACCAATAATAATTGGGATTTTATTACTCTATTTATTAACGCCATTAATAATTGGCTCGGATGGTTGATTTAGCACTCTTTAGAATGTGTGTTTGCTCCTAATTGGTTGTCAAACTCACTTAGAGCTTCGTGATTACTTGCTGAGGTCTATTTTGCAATGCCGCCTAGATTCCTGGCATATTTTGTTGTAACTGTTTTTTTTCTTTTCCAGGTTCATGGTAGTTTGTATAGGAATATCGGCAGTTAATGGGGTGAGTTTTCAGCAGCCCATAGATAGATTAATATTTTTAAGGCAAAGTTCTTCAACCCGAACGAGTGCTCCTCGAAGCCAGCCGCCAGAGAAAAATCAGAAACAAACCGGATTTTAAATTACATCTGCAAATTAATGACGCGACTTAGCACATTTCGACAAAATCGTCTTTTTCTCATAGCAGTTAATTGCCAGGCCGAATGCAATTTTCGAGTACACGACGATAATGGTGGTAATATCTTTGGCAGAAATGGCACAACGCGACATGGCCAGATTAAGCTCTTGATTGCTTATTAATATCAATCACAGTGCAGGGAAACGTTTCTTGTGCTGTTGATTGGCCCTGTTTGGGCACACAATGGGCAAATACAGGCCTCTCGACAACAGGTCTTAAGAATCTCTATTGTTTCCGTACGGTACTCTCGATGTCGGTCCAGTCATCGTACCTCATTAGTCGTTCGTTTGTTCAGCTCGCCCGAAACCAATCAATAACCATTAGAAAAAGACAAGGCCGCTCTCGGAAGTTTTTGTTTTTCTATCATTTTTGCATGCCGGATCAGTTTCACTTCGGGACTGTATCAACATCCTCCAGGGGAAGACATTTAGACTGGGTTTTTTGCTGGTTTTTAGAGTATACAACTTTGAGGCTTCCAAATAATCAGGCAATCACGATGATTGTGTTTACCTTATTATTCACTCGAACGGTAGGCGTCTAAAAATACTTTTGGCTTATAGCCCGTTTCTTTTCGATTCTTATTCCCGGTGATTTATCGGTGCGGGCATTTCCTAAAATATGCACTTTCCCGTTTAAATTACGTTTTAATTAGACGGGAACAGCCAGAGTCAATCTGGCAGGGAAATTAGGAAAAAATGCGAGGAATTACTCAAACAGGCGATTTGTTTGCGGGGAAAATGCGGCATTCGACTCTTGAAATCCATAATCAGAGGCGTTTTTTTTAATTTAAAAAAAATCTGTATAAACGTAGGGGGCAAGAGCTTGTTACTAAAGGGAGTATAAAAAAATGGTTGTTTCACAAATCACAAATTTGACCGCTAAAACTAGAGATTTTCTGGAAAAGCGCATCTAACAGGAAAAAATATCCAAAGAGACAGACTTACACTGTTCTGATGCGCTTCCTCTGCATCGGAACCAGTGTAAGCGTTCAAGCAAGCCATCTGAAGACGCAAGCCACTCGTACTTGCAAACCGCCAGGAAGAATTTCCATTTTACGACGGCTTAAAAGCCCGAAAAACTCATCAGTTTCCAGCGTTGGCCTCGAAAACCAACTTTTTTTATACAAAAAATTATGAAAAAAAATTTATCTCACGTTTACTGATTCTGAAAGGCCAAAGTCATGATTCATAGTTAGTTTTCCTTAAATTATTCTTAAGCTTGCAATCGTTTTCATACAAAAATCTCATCTCTAATTTAACAAAAATTGTGTAGGTCTTCGGATGTTTCGGTTGTTGATTTTGCAATTTGCAAAAGGATTGAAAATGTTGCTTCTAAATTGGCACAGAAATGAGGAAAAAATGCGAAGAATTACTCAAACAGGCGGAAAAATCGACTCTTGAAAAGCGCAATCAGACGAGTTTTCCAGGCGCATTTGCCCCGTTTCATAACGATTTTTCATGCGAGAGACTTTTTAAATATTAAAAAAAAACTGTACAAACCCTGAGTGCAAGAGATTGTTCAATCAAAAAATAGTTCTCATCACAAATTTCACCGTTGAAAAGAAAACAAAATTCACCGTTTCTTGGAAAGGCGCATTTCACAGGCAAAAAATTACTTCGAAACTGGAAATTGTTTCGGGTTTTTAGGTCCTGGTGAAAAAAAAAGTATTCTGGACGTTTTGCTAGCACGAATGGCTTCCATCTTCAGACGACGACTGAAAAGCCCGAAAAACTCGTTAGCTTTGGTTACTGTTTTGGCAATTTTTTTAATTTTTTGGTTTAAAGTATGCAGACAGTTTAGGTCGTCGCTCGTTATAGACGTGGCATTACATTTTGAGTAATTTGATAGATTAAGCAGACTGCTGAAAGAAATCCGTATTATCAGACCAGCTGCAAAAACTTGGAAAATTTTCTCCCAAAAAAGATGAAGTTTTTAAATAATTCACGTTCTTGTCTAAATGAAATTTCAGTCAATCTGGCAGAAAAATTACGAAAAAATTCGGGGAATTACTCAAACAGGCGATTGGTTTTCGGAAAAAATCGGCTGATGAAAAGTACACTCAGACGCGTTTTTCTGAAGCATTTGCCCGGTTGCTGCTTAAATTTTTTGAATTTTTTGAAAAGAATCTGTCTAAATCTAGAGAGCAAAAGCTTACTAAGAGGGACAAGCAAAAAAAGTATGCCTCATTGATTTTTTCCAAAAGTGCTCGATAAAAGCATATATTGAAACTGGTGATTGCTTCGTAAATTTTGGCTCGAGTCATCTTCAAAAGTGGCAATAGTTTGGGAAGTTACTCTTTTGGGACACGAAAAAGTCGCTTTCCAAACCATTGCACCAAAAAAATAATTCAAGAGCAGGAATCAGCATCTTTAAATATATCTAGTTGTGTCTATATTTTGCACATTTCTACTTCAGTAACAAGTTTTCTTCATTTTGAGCACCCGAAGAAACCAAAGCATATAATGAACACCGCGCAACTTAGTTACAATTAATCGTTTGCCTGTCAATGCTCTGCCTGCTTAAATAGAACCTCTTGCAATTTGATTACAAGTTTGGCCCAATTTGCTCAATAATTTAAGAAAAAACCAAATCTGGATGCTGGTTTCGAGCTGCAAGATAAACCTCCGTTTAATATAAAAAATAACTTAGAAACTACTTTTGTTTCTAGCAATTTTTGAGCAATTATCGGGCTGCAAACCGAACGGGGCTCTATGGCAGGCCGGTTGACCGAGCTGTTCCCCGGCACAGAATATCAGGAGGCTCCTACAGGAGTGGAGACTATGAGTCCAGAGTGGACTCCCAGGAAGCAAATAGGAATATTCATAACTATCCAAACAACGACGATGACCAGGAGGCAAGCCGGTTAGTATCAATTACTCAGTTGGATCAATCAGGACACTTAAATGCTCAAACTCTTGGAAAGATGCAACTAGTGTTTCTATACCTACTGTTTCATATACCTCACTTTTTATAGCGAAAATCGCCTTGTAATCGTACATTTTGAAGAGTATTTTCTGCCTTTTAACTCTCCTTCTTTTCACACCAGCAAACTGCGCCTCGTTCTGAGCAAACCAAAGTATCTGCAAATTGACACTCAGAGGTGAATGTGAAGAAACCTCTTCTACTTCTCCGGACTCTGTCTACTGGTCCTCTCCTCATTTACCATTGCATTTGAATTGCATGCTTCCTTTGCTCTCCCCGCTGTTTTGTATACCAACCGCGTAAAAAACTGTGGCAACCTCCAATCGAGGCACACTTATTTAATGTGACTCATTGCTTTCAGGGAAGAGCAAGATATATTCGGTTCGTCCTTCGAGTACGGAGCCTCAGGCGGCTCTAGCGGTGCAAATAGAGAAGCTGGAAGCTCTGGAGGGTTTCAAGGATCTCGATCAAGAACAGGTCGGTGCCAGACAAATCCGAGTCGAATCCCTACTAAACATTTCCCCCAATCTTCCAGGGTACGACGCTTCGGCACGAAGCGATCCGTTCTTGTCCGGTTTTGAATCGACCTCATCCAGATACGACGCACCTGAATCAAGATTCAATGTGTTCCGCGCCGGCCAATCAAACAGCAGGTCAGTAGAGGACAATTTTCCAATAGATTGGAAGTGCAGATTCAAATTTGTTAGATCCTCGTCCAACGGTCCATGGGGATCTTACCCCAGCAGCCCTTATGAAAACAGGCGACCTTATGTGAGCAGTTATGATATCATTGATGCTCCTGGCAGCGCAGTAGGCCCCAGAAACGGATCAGAAAGATGTATTCCCAAATGCTTCGCTGAAAAGGGAACGCGGGTAAGACTGCACTTGGTTAAATAAGTAGTCGAAACGGGTTTTCTAAATGAAATTTCAGGGCTTCCCCGGTTTGCCTGGACACAACGGCGACAAGGGAATTCGAGGATTCCCGGGAGATGAAGGCATTCCGGGCGAAAAAGGGGACATAGGAGAAACGGGCCCCCAAGGCCCCAGAGGCCCCAAAGGCGACCGAGGCAAAACCGGTCTTCCAGGATTCCCGGGAGTGAATGGCGTTCCGGGCCTTCAAGGCCCGGAGGGCCCTCCCGGATACCCGGGGAGCGACGGATGCAATGGAACGGACGTGAGTGGCTCAGCGCTAACCACCAACGCAAAGCAACCGCGAAAATTTTCCAGGGCTACCCTGGAAATCCTGGAACTGATGGCGACATTGGCCCTAGAGGATTCCCTGGTCCATCGGGTGTCAAGGGAGAGAAAGGAGAAGCAGCCCATTGCGAAATCAATCTCAAAGGTCAAAAGGGCGAACCTGGCCGGGACGGCGTGACCGGCCCTCCAGGAAATCCCGGCCCGCAAGGACCTCGAGGATTAATAGGACCAGCTGGAGAAGACGGCCCACGGGTAAACAAATGTTGCTTCTACATTCTACGAAATTCTCTGTTCTCTATGTATGATCCATGTTCTGCTATTTAACGACTCTATTTCGACTAGGGTTTCCCAGGGCCGCAAGGCACCAAAGGACAGAAAGGTCAAATGGGCATCGGCTTCTACGGAGAAAAGGGAGACAAAGGAGAGACAGGCCCGGCTGGTCAAAAAGGCCAGGACGTCTCCTCATTTGTGCACAACGGCACGGTTCAGCTAGGGCCCAAAGGAAATCAGGGCATGAAGGGTGATCGTGGAGAGTTCGGTTTTATCGGTCCCAAGGGTGAACCTGGACTTGAAGGCGACTACGGTATTCCTGGATCAGTGGGCATGAAAGGGGAAAAGGGACTAGTGGGCGTACCAGGACCTCGAGTGAGTTCTCCGCTTGGATGAAGTTCCTTTAGGCGTATCTCTCATCTCATCAAGGATGCACTCCTATCAATCCATGTATTAAATAATTGCAGGGCCGTGATGGATTCGCTGGACCCCCAGGACCTCCAGGGCAAAAAGGTGATCGCGGTTTGGAAGGTCTTCCCGGCCTAGCAGGCAGACCGGGATTGAAAGGCGAACCTGGTCGAGATGGACCCCCGGGTCAAATCGGCTTGAACGGACCACCCGGCCCGCCTGGGGGTGGCAAAGGAACCCCCGGCCCGCCAGGCCCACAAGGTCCCAGAGGATACCCTGGCCCGCAAGGCCCCAAAGGTAAGAATCCTACACCAAACGCCCACAATACAAATAGCCCTTCATATCATGGCGCTTTAGGAACGGACGGATTCCCTGGCGAACCTGGACGACGGGGCCCGCAGGGTCCCATAGGAGGTCCAGGAGTACCTGGCCGAACCGGTCCTGAAGGCCCCCCAGGAGACAAAGGACAGAAGGGAGAATTTGGATCCGTTGGGCATCCAGGCGGCGAAGGCCCGCGCGGCCATCCAGGACTACCTGGACCGCAAGGTCCTCGTGGATTCACCGGAGAAAAGGGATATTCGATAATTGTACGTATTTCCATTCAGGCCCTAGCGCCCACATCCACTATATACGTTTTAAGGCAGCAAAGAGGATATTTGAGTTGGAAAATCAAACCTCCAATAATTGCAGGGTCCCAAAGGAGACGACGGGCTGCCTGGCTCAGACGGCCTGAAAGGAACAAAAGGAGAAAAAGGGTTCCCCGGTTCCCGCGGTTCGCCTGGTGATTCCTTGAATGGAATCCCTGGGGAAATGGGACCAATTGGTCCGCCAGGAGAAAAGGGTAATGCGGGCCGGCCGGGTATTCCCGGCAATAGTGGCCAAGGGGGAGAGAAAGGAGACAAAGGAGGCACTTGCCAGGACTGCTTGCCGGGCCTGAAAGGAGACAAAGGAGATCGGGGTTTCGATGGGCGCGATGGAGCCATTGGGCCCAGAGGCCCACCGGGACCCACTGGAGCGATGGGCCAACCTGGAACAGATGGCAATCCTGGAATACAAGGCCTTCCTGGAGCACCTGTAAGTATCACAACCTGCCAATGCAAACAGTCTGCCAGTAAAACCCCCGAACTTGTTGAGTGGTTTCAAACGCACGAGTTTTCAACATGTTTGTGTTGAGTCGTGTATTACAATATTCTCGTTTAATAATACTTTATTATAGGGCAAAGCAGGAAACGATGGCCCAATCGGAGCCCCTGGAAACCCCGGTAAACCCGCTATAATTCCTGGCAACCTGGTTAAGGGCCCCAAAGGAGAGCCAGGCGTACGAGGAGCAGAAGGTCGACCTGGACCTCCAGGACCCATCGGCAGGCCTGGCCCTAAGGGCGACATCGGTCCCTTAGGATTCCCCGGAGAGAAAGGATTCCAAGGTTTACCGGGATACGCAGGCACTCCCGGAGTTGCAGGATTGAACGGGGTGTCCGGCCAAAAAGGCCAGAAAGGAGACAGTGTAAAAGGAGAACCCGGCCGAATAGGCGAACCCGGTGATCAAGGTGATAAAGGAGAGACCGGTGCCACTGGACTGCCGGGACTCACCGGAGTGTGCGCGGCAAACATTGTTGCAAAGTTAAAAGGCAATCAGGGACCAGTGGGGCCCAAAGGTGAAATAGGGCGCCCAGGATACCCGGGAGCTCCAGGTCACAAAGGAGATGCAGGTACTCCCGGGCCCAAAGGATACCCAGGCGTCGTAGGACCCGCAGGGCCAGTAGGCAGAAGAGGTTTACCCGGTCCAAGAGGAGACAAAGGAATCGTGGGTCCGATGGGTTTCCCAGGCGATCATGGTAGGGATGGAGCACGAGGAATCCCAGGATTAAATGGCCCGAAGGGCACCAAAGGAGAAGCAGGAATCCCTCAAGTTGGACCCTCAGGTCCGCCAGGACCTATGGGAATTAAGGGAGAACGAGGATTACCTGGATTCCCTGGCAAAACCGGCCCTCATGGAAGCAACGGCCTTTCGGGGCTAATGGGAGAGAAAGGCGACATTGGCAGTCCCGGTCTAAACGGCCTCCCAGGCCCACCAGGTCAAAAAGGAGACACTGGACCTTTGGGGCCGCCAGGGATTTCCGGCTTGAATGGACCGCCAGGGCCTCGAGGTCCTAAAGGAGCTCCAGGATTGAAAGGCGAATCGGGAAAATCTGGCCTTCCTGGCTTCCCAGGGTTCAAAGGTGACAAGGGTGATCTTGGCCGGCCGGGTCTTCCCGGATATAAGGGAAACACCGGAAGACCAGGCGCTCCAGGCACACCCGGTTTAGATGGCCGTGATGGGCAAAGAGGAGAGAAAGGAGACAAGGGATATCCGGGTCCGCCTGGCCCCGTTGGCATAGTAGGCATGCCAGGTGAACGTGGATACCCAGGAGAGCAAGGAGACGATGGACCCGAAGGTCGAGCAGGCTACCCTGGACCACCAGGTAACACCGGACTGAAAGGAAACCCCGGCTTACCAGGTCTACCAGGCTCCAAAGGAGACCCCGGCGCAGCCTCTGAAAAGGGCCAGAAGGGAGAACCCGGCTTATCAGGACTCCGAGGACATGATGGTCTGAATGGAGCACCAGGTCCCATTGGAGAAAAGGGAGATACAGGCTACCCAGGCCGCAGTTTACCAGGTTTACCCGGCGAAAAAGGAGACCGAGGCATTCGTGGGTTTGATGGAAGCCCCGGAACGCCGGGCGCTAAGGGCGACAAAGGAGTCTCAGGACTATTTGGACTCAAAGGTGACACAGGCCGGCCTGGTGCTCCAGGAGCGCCAGGAATGGACGGAAAAGACGGACTGCCTGGCTTGCCGGGCGAGAGAGGATTCCCTGGTGCCCCAGGATTCAACGGCGAGAAAGGAGACAAAGGCCAGCCGGGCCTGGACGGCTTCAACGGACCTCCAGGCGAGAAAGGCTTTGAAGGCCCCATTGGCCCTGTTGGGCTGCCGGGCGAAAAAGGAGACTTGGGCGACAGAGGCGCTCCGGGACTACCAGTATCAATCAAAGGAGAGAAAGGAGAAATTGGGCCTGCTGGTCTACACGGCCGCGACGGCGAGAAAGGCGACAGAGGCTTTCCAGGGCCCCCAGGCGCCATGGGCGTAAAAGGCGACATTGGACTGCCTGGTCCGAAAGGAGATAGAGGTTGGCCTGGATTGGAAGGCAACAAAGGTATGAGCTAGTATTGTCCTGTTTAATTTTAACATAAGAAGCGCGCTCATTTGCTAATCGCTTTTCTACTTGTCCTACTAATAATGCTGGGCACCTATGGGTATACAGGGTT